TAGAGTTGACAAAACTGGTTGGCAAGGTTGTAGTAAAATTGCTATATAATCTGTCCCCCTCCTTCCCTCCTCAGCAATATCTTCTTCTTTTGTCAAAATCTGCTTGTGCCGCTAGGCGTCGCAGTCTATCAGATGATCGGCAACCGAGCCAGGGCGCGCTTAGTCGCTTCATATGCCGTGATGTTATGAAGTCTCAAGTTGTCCGTGACTCCTTCAATCCATCTTCTTCTTGGTCTTCCCCTGCCTCTTGGTGTTTCGATTTTCATGTTGTATGCTCTTGATGCTGGCATCGTTGGTTCCATTCTCATTAGGTGACCAAACCATTTCATTCTTTGCTTCTCAATAAATTTAACGATGGGTATGGTTCCAATAGTTCTTGTAATCACATCGTTTCTCACTCGATCTCTCTGGATCTCTTAACCAGGTTCCTCAGCGTGGATGATATGATTCTGCAATGTATAACCAGCTAAAACAATATATATGTTACAGTAAATATGGGTTGGTAAAAAGGGTAAACTAACTGACACAAATATGCAAATTCAGATAAACGCAGAAGAAGAAGAAAGAGAAGAAGAAGATTTTAGTTACAACTTTTTTAAAAACTACAACATGTTATTGATCAAACTAAAATAAAATAACTGAAGAAAAAAACAAAGGAGATGATCTCAACAAAGCCCAACTGTAAAACATAATAAACGAGTTTAGTAGATAATATTTAAGTTTTAGCAAGAAACAGTAATTAAGAAGATTTTCTAAATAGAGGAAATATGATAAGTTTATTTTAGCTGAATAAAATGAGTAATGTAAAATTCTGTTAATTATGTAAGAAAGTTTAAAAAAAAAGCTTGTTAGTTCATGGACATATAAGATCTAAACGTTCAGGTGTTTAAATCCTTTCTGAGAAATTCTGTCAAGGTCAACCTTCTTCGTGTTCACCGGCTGTAAACTCCGGCAGAAAGTCTTAGTTGCTCATCTGCCTCTCAACTTCAGCCTTGTTCCAGAACCTGAGCGTTGCAATTGCACATCTTTTTTACAGATCTGGCTTATCTGTTTATGCAGACAGTTCCTTGCCTCTCAGGAAGATGCTCTCCAACTTTGAAGTAAGCCCCCAATTTGTCGACTCCTACGACCTGCTTGTTGGGGGGACAGGGGGTCTATTCTTGTTTTTCCTACAGTGGGGCCCTGGAACTCACACAATGAGGTTATGGGAAGTGGAGTGTATACATAACACATCCAGCGCTGTTTGGTCGATAAATATGGGGTTAACACCATCTTTGTTATCATTATCATGTGCTGTGCTGGTAAGCATAGGCTGTCATGTTTTACCATCACAAATGATCTTCACAATCACAGATAAGATCAATGTTTTCATTTTGCTTCAACCATATGGCCAGGCCATTCAATTAGTTATCTTTATGGCTTCCTCTGGTTCATTTACCATCACTATTGCCAGTTGTTACTAAGTTCTGAAGTCCATTTCTTTTCATGAAATGTCCACACACAAAAACACTGACTGTCTAACTGTTTTGAGAGGTTTACAACTTTCATCTGACTCGATGAGGACTACTTTGTTCGTTTTTCTATCCATCCATGAGATTCTTTCCATTCTTCTTAAAAACAACAACTCTGCCATGAGTAACAATTTTCCAGACTGTCTGCTTATTGTCCATGTCTCACATCTATATAACAACACAGGTTCTACATAGCACTTCAATGCTATTTTCTTCACTGCAACTGACATCTTCTTAGTGGTAAGAATCTTTTGCATCTTGCTAAAGGCCAATACACCATCTTCATCATCATCAAGTGCCTTGCCGGCTGACGTAGGTGTTCACGTGTCACCACAGATCTTGGTCTTTGGTGTTTTGGATCAGTTACACTAAAGATATTCCTCCATGCCACTGTCTTAAGCCATCCACCATCATTTCTCTTGGTCTGCCTCTGCCTCTCCTAGTTGTCCCGATAGAACACTATCTCACACAATATAAATCATGACATTGAAAGTGGTCCCCTGCCTTTTTTATTCTCTGACTCTCCCTCTCATCATGGTGTACTTCAGCTTTCTCCTTCTCATGACACAATGAAAGAGTGTACATGCCTCCTTCTCATGCTGACAATCAGTTCTCTTCATGAATCAGTTTCTCTCAAGACATCTTCACTACTCTTTTCATCTGTCCAGGGGGTTCTCATCATCTGTCTATAAAAGCACATCTCCGGCGCTTCCAGATAATACATAATAATAAATATTACACCAAAGGAATATTATGTTATGTTATCACAACTGACATATGCACATTGAAAATTCCCATGCATGCTCAGCCCTCCAGTGTAGTAGCCACTCTAAAGTACCCCGACTGTTCCTATGACAATATAATTCCTATCTTGACTTCAAACACAGAACCACCGTACTTCATCAGGCTTTCTCTCTGAGGTTATGTAATCATGTTAGCACAAGAGATTTGAATTTAGCTGCCAGTCAAGTCTGTATATCGTCGATGATATCAGCTCTGTCTATGCATCTGTTGGCATGCAGTGCTGTAGTACTTGCCAGGTGGTCTACCCATCTACTCACCAAAAATAGTTAGTTACCTAACTGCAGGAGTCCATATTGGTGATAATGTTCATTATCTATGTGAACTTTTGTTAATAAACTACAATTAAAGTGAACATGATTAATCAGGGTAATAGTTAGGAATCGATATCACATCCGCTATGGCATTCCCAAGAACTTTCTGTCCCCACCTTCTCAGTGCTGCTGATAATGGTTGTTATGTGTGTGAATTTGTAATAATAAACTACAGTTAAAGTACAATGGATTAATCATGGTAATAGTTAGGAATCTACATCACATCCGCGATGGCATTCACATAAACATTATGTTCCCATCTTCAGCAGCCAGCGCAGAGTTCCAAAATTAATGGTGCCAGGTTGGTAGGTAAGCAGATTAAAAAGCAGAGCTTTCTTATGGGTTCTCAGTCTGTGGATACATGTTTTGTCAAATATACCTGTCTGCAATATATTATTTTATTAAACATCCCAGGCTAGATTTTCAAAAGCAATTCTTCCTCTGGAAAGGCAATCTGAAGATTTGATACCCAGCGACTCAAAGAACTAGAATGTAGATGCCACACCTCCTCATGTGGGTTCCAGAGCTCCACTGTGGGAAAAACAAGAACAGACCCACTGTCTCCCCAACAAGTATGTCGTAGGCGAGTCGAATAACTGGCAGCATCTTTCAAAGTCGGAGTGCATTTGCCTGAGAGGCAAGGAACCAAGAGTCTGCATACAAATAAGCCAGATATGTAAAATGAATGTGCACATAATGCTTAGATTCTGGATGGAGACTAAAGTCCAGAGGGGGATGAACAACCAGAACTTTTGGCCGGAGTTCACAGTCAGTGAACGTGAAGATAAAAAAGATGGCAATCCTATATTAAAAAATCCCAGATATCTGGGTTCAACTCTATATAAGACAACAAGAAATTAAACAGAAAAAAAAAAATCAAATTTACAAAACATAATGAAGAAAATATGTTTGCAAGAAAATCTGACAAATTAAAGCAAAGAGCTAACATAGGCAAATAGTGCCAAAAAGCTAGAATAGTTATTTCTCGTGTAATATAATAAGCACAAATAAAAAAAAAATACATGGAGATGGTAGGATTACAACGCCATCTGCTTGTTGCTGAAGTAAAATGTCTATCATACCTGCTGCCTCAAAGCTTATCTCTAAGATGTTTATGACTGGTTCTTCTGTTGTTAAAATAAAACAATGACATTTAGTATGTTGCGCAGGGTTTTTATCTTTTTTAAGGCACCATTTCTGTGCTACTTTAATTGACTCTTTGTGGTGAGTACCGGCACCTTTTTTTTTTGGTAAAGGTGGTGGGAATCTGTGGTGAAAACGTGCATCTATTTTTGGATGCTGTGTTGTGAGTTCCAGCATTTTTTAAAATACTGTGGTAACTACAGGCATCCATTTTGATACTCTGTGCTGAGTACCGGAACTTTTTTTTTTTTTAACTTTGTGGTTTAGTACCGGCACATATCTGATTTTTGGCAGGGAAAAAGCCTTGATGCTGTGTTCACAAAGACAAACAGGCCATGGAAGTACAAATTTAACACACAGTTAATGCTTCTAGGCACGGTTGTCTTTTGGCAGTGCATGACGATTCGCAGAACCAGCACCTTCGAAAAGTTTGTGTGTGTGTTGGGTATTTGGTTAGAAGACACTCAAGAAATCTATCCTATCCAATGGCCACTACAAATATTTTATTATTACATTACTGTTTTGAAAGTAATGCAATAATGAATTTTAATGAAACCTTCTTCTGATACTCAAATAGTTACAGGTCAGAGGATCATATTCACTGAACTGAGTTTTCTTCAATGTGGCTTCATCTCTCTCTGCCAACTGATTCACATAAAGCACAACTTCCATGACTCTAGTGACGATTCCCAGGGATCTAAATAAAGTGCACTTGTAAACCAAATGACAGAATGAACACACAAATATGAGCAAACTGCATGATCACTGACAATGAAGATCACCCTTTAGTCCCCTCATAAGAGGAAAGAAGATGAGGAAGGATTCTAGAGAATAAGCGGTTATATGCTGTGCTGTACAAATTTAAGGCTATACAGTGATTACTGCATACGACTAAATGTGACATGCTTAAATATTAAAGCAATTATATAATGCATATTTCAATCAATTGCAGACTTTCATGCTACGTTGAAGCAGCCACAATAAATGGCTTCCTTCCAGATTAGTGCAAACAAAAAGATATAGTGGTAACTGACAGTTACTTTTGAGTGTGCTGAATTTGTGTTACAGTTTAAAGAATTGATTTATTTGCTCATTTCTTTCAAATGTCATCTGATGAGATACAGCAACAAATGCCAGGCAATAAACTGTTCAATTTATTGCTCATGCCATTCTCCTTTTACCAGCGGTTTGATATACATTATTACATAAAACAAAGAACATCTGTTCTCACCTCTCCAACTCTCTGTATCCAGTAAGCTTTATCCAGGCTGTGTGCATCTGTCACTCCTTCATCTTCTGCAGCTTTAGTTAACGCAGTATTTATCTGTGAAGTGAGAGTGCTTTTGGAATTGTCTGAACAATGTACTTTTAGAATTGTCCGAACAATGTACATGATAATGTCTGTGCCTCGTGACTATTGTCCTCGTGAAATGAGTTAAACTGCACAGTTTTTGTCAAACATGTGGTTTAGTACATCTAATTAATATCAAGCACGATGAGGAGTCATTTGGCTGAAATACTCAGTACAACTGGGCCTCCTCCTGATGATTAGAAGACTCCTGTAGTATTCACACCTGGAGTTGTTTTCTATATTTCTTCTTCATGTTCACTGGCTATAAACGCCTGCAGAAAGTTCTGGGTGTTTGTCCACATCTGGACTTGAGTCTTGTTCTAGAATCTAAATGTTGCTTGCACATCTGTTTAACATAAGCAGATTGTTGGTTCCTTGCCTCTCAGGCAGATGCACTCCAAATTCGAAGGAAACCCCCAATTTGTAGACTCCTACGACATGCTTGTTGGGGAGGCAGTGGGACCAAAATTAGAACAGCCGCCCTTACTTTCCAGGACTTTTCCTTGGGTACCTATTTTAGACTTAGTCGCCTTAGTGTTTGAGCGAACGATCGGCGTGACCTCTCCTGACTGCTTCTTAAAGGTTTACCATATCATCCCGAGATTTAAAAACTCTCAATCTGGATGGCAGACTGACCGACAAGGCAGAAGAAGTTATAATTAGGGTACCCGTGTGTCACCTGCAGTCCCATGCTGACAAGGATGTCTTGGGCAAACTTGGGGCAATCGTAAGCATTCCTGCTGGGGTTGGAGTGTTGCCTAAACTTCAGGAAGAAACATGACTAGCCAAGGCTCTCAGCCAGTCTGTATGAGCCGAATCTTTCTCTTCTGCCCTTTATCCCCCAGTGAGGTCATGCTGGTATGTTGGTGAACAAGCAGGCAGATAGACTGGCCGGTTCTGCACCACTTGGTGGTGAACTGGTGTATGACAAGCCAGATGTTGTGAGGGCCCTTTGGTAGCGACTGACCAGTGCAGAGGCACAAACAGATTATTCTGATCTGAGGAGAATGACGCTGCAGGGAGTTACCAGGAGATGTGGCCAGCTCTCAAAACTGAAGGGAAAGGCGAGATGGATATACAATCAGACAGGTACTGGTACCATCAGAACTGGAACTCTTCGCTTGCTGCTTATGGGAGTGTCCCAAGTGCTTTTTTGTTTTTTAACATCTACAAATTTCCTAGTGCTTTGAAAGCTCCTCTATTTGCCTGGCTTATTCTCATTATCTTTGTCTTTCCCATATGGATTTTCAGAACTAGCTGTTGTAATCTCGCATCAAGTATATTTAATTTATCTTGCATCTGATTCTGTGAGGGGGACAGAAGAAAAATATAATCAATGAAGTCCAGATCATCAAGCTGTTTTGTAGGGGTCCACCAAATTACATTCCTAGTGTTAGCAGTTGCTGCCTTCATAATCCAGTCAACTGACAATAAAAATCGGAGAGAGGATAAAAGACATCCCTGTCACAGACCTGTTTCTAATTCAAATGTATCTGTTAGCTTTTCCTCATAAAGAACTCGACATTTACTATCTTTATAAATTGCCTTTTCTAAGTTGATAATTTTCTGTGGGATTCCATAGTGCCCCATGTAAGTTCCGGAGCCTATTCTGGGGGGAAAAATAAAAGACACACTGCCATTCCCCCCCCCCCCCCTGATAAACATGTTGTAAAAGGCGACTTATTATGGGTATTTCCTTCAAAGTTGGATTGTATCTGCCTGAGAGACGAGGAACCAACAGCCTGCATACAAATAAGCCAGATCTGTAAAATGGGTGTGCAGGCAAAACTCAATTTTTGGAACAAGACCAAAGTACAGAAGTGGACGAACAACCAGAACTTTCTGCTGGAGTTTACAGCCAGTGAACGTAAAAAAAAAAAAAGAAAAATAAAGCTTACTAGTGCGGGCAATTATGTTTCTCCATATCTTGCACATTCTGACAGCATGAATCAGTTTGTGCACTGATACCCTTCCTTGCCATGTCAAAGGCTGACAAGAATCTTCTTTTGTTATCTTCCCCTTCCATGCTGAACTGCTTCACACTAGCCCACTAAAAACACTTGTTCAGGGGGTCTCCGTGGCCAAGTGGTCAAGCTGTTTGCCTCGTGCTCTGAAGATCAAGAGTTCATTTTGAAGCCGAGTCGTTCGGACCATGAGAGCAATTTTATGGAGACCCTGGGGATCATCACCGGAGCTACAGTGCTTGTGGCCTGTGTGACTTTCTTAGCAGTCGGCCAGCTGTTCTGCGGAAAGAGACTGAGCCATATGGGATAAAACCTGTTGCAAGGGAGTCTATCCTCTCAACCAGAACTACTCTGATGTTAAAATCTGGAAGACATTTGGTCTGTGCAATTCCCATTAATTTTGTTTCTTCTGTTCTTCTTCTTCTTCTTCGTTCACCGACTGTAAGCTCTGGTGGAAAGTCCTGGCTTTGTGCCAGGGCCTGAGTTTTGTGTTTACATCTGTTTTACTGGCTTATTTGTGTGTGCAATTGGTTCTTCCTTGCTGTCTGTGCAGATGCACTCTAACTTCAAAGAAAGTCCCCAATTAGTTGACTCCTACGACATGCTTGTTGGGGAGGCAGTGGGTCTATTCTTCTTTTCCCCACAATGGGGCCTCAGAACCCACACTGAACGTTTCTGGCTGTTCCAACCAAGACCCTTCCTTTGACTGTCGGCACAATTCTATCTTCGAACAGAACTACAATATGACTAAAATATGAAATAATTTACCAAGACTTACAAATCTGTCAGCATCCTTGTAAATGTCTGCCTTCTCTGTCTGTCTTTTGAATGACATAGAGTCCAGCTGTGATTTCAGGTTCTCTATTAGCTGGTCCTTGCTTTGTGCTTGCATCTCATAATTCTGTCTTGTGGTCATCTCTCTGTCCAGCTCATTATGTAGTCGAGTATTCTCCTTCTGTAGACTGGCCAGCTAGATTAACACACATAAAAATGACATTAGGGAAACAAAATCTGCTTCGTGAAATGTTGCTTGACAAAAATGTTTTAAATTATTTTTTTGTTTCTCTCTGGGATTGCATTGCATAGGATTAACATCTCATGAATCAGCATCTTCTTCTACTTCACTTCTTCACATTCACTGGTTATAAACTCTGGCAGAAAGTTCTGTTTGTTTGTTTGTTGAAAGTTCTTTGGTCTTGTTCTAGAACTTTAGTTCTGCACGCACATCCATTTTACAGATCTGGATTTTTTGTATGCAGACTGTTGGCCTCTCATCTTTCAGGCACATGCACTCCGAATTCCAAGGAAACACCTCTAATTAGTCAACTTTTACGACATGCTTGTTGGAAGGGTGGGAAGTGGATCTATTCTTTGTTCTCCAAAATGGTGCCCTGGAACCCACATGGGGAGAATCAGAATCAAACAGGTACCAATCCCAGAAATCTTGCTCAAAAGTTACACCGGAGAACCTTACAGGTACAAAGTAACCTGCAATCCAATGTGGGCAGGTAATGATATGTTGGAGTATTAGATGGATAAGTTACATTTAAAATTTCATTCAAATTATCTATTTTGTTTGATTTATCTAAATGGCTTTAGTGCTGACTAATAAGACAGTTGCATTGCATCACTTTTTTGAAAGTCTCAAAGATTCAAAATCATGCTCTCCACATTATGACAGGGGCCATGTACTCTACACCCGTATTAGACATGGATAACAATTACTGGTCTCCATGCTCTGGAAGACAGGAGAAACACAAATCTCCTCACCCAGCTCTTCAAATACCACCACTTTAAAGAACAACCCATGCACAGCCGACTGCAGAAACTCCAGAAGGCTGAACTAAAGAGAACATGTTACATTGAGAACAAAATGTCAAGCTTGCTGACCTCACACTCCTTCCCATAGTACCAAATGTTCAGCTGAAACCGTACAACAGGGATGCCTTCCAAAAATCTATGAGCAGCACTGATATGAAATCTATTACAGAAGAGAGATCAAGAGACTTTATCCACAACAGTGTTCGATATTCAGTTTATTCAAATGGTTCAGCCAAGAGAGCAATAAGAGACAGAGGAGGAGGAATATACATAGAATGCCCAAATGGTTTGAAAACTGAACAACCTATATCAAATAGTTCACTTCTGGTAGCATGTTCTTTCCTGAATAGATAACAACATAGCAAATATAAAAGAGTGGTCCTTCTGACTGATACTATGTCAGTTCTACAAGTAATTGTTAACCGAAAAAGATAGACAGTTTGTAGGCTTGATGCAACAACTGATTCACTTAGGCTCTCCAGTAGAACAATCTCTGGTGTGGTGGATTCCAGGTCTCTGTGGCTTGGAAGACAATGAAACAGTGGACAGATTGGCCAGAAGCAGCAGTGATGTGGTACAAACAAATAGTGACCCTTATCCACCAAAAGACTAAGACATTAATACAATCTATTATCCAATAAAGGTGGCTGGATATACATACACCAAATTCTCTCATCACCTCTCTAGAGAGGGACAATGTGTTTTATTCAGACTAAGGACAGGGCACAACAGACTTTGTCAACATATGTTCAAACTTTTCGGTGTAGGAAACACACAGAAGTGTCCCTGTAGCGTGGCACCACAAAATTTTGAGCATGTGCTTCAACACTATCAACTGTATGCTGACAATAGAAACGCAGCCTAGCCCGTCCCAACCACAAGACAAAGCTGTATGGTAGATGAGGGGATATGGACCGCACATTAGCTTTCATAAAGGTTACCGACCTCCTGATATAAGTTTTCCGACTGAAGGATCAAAGAAGTCAAAGTTTTCAGAGTTAGTTGATAAAACTGATCTATTTGATCAAGTCAGAACAAAGATGACTTCAGAGTTATTTGATATAAATGATCACACCTGCTGGTTGAGTTTATGGATGCTGTCAATATTGGCCTTCAGTCGAAGGTGAAGGTCCTCAATAGCAGCTTCCTTTGTTTTCATATCTTTATCCTGCTCCACCCTGCAGACAGATGAGAACAAATATAAAAAACAAAAAAAAAAACTGAGACTTATCTTAAACTACATGCTATGTTTTCATGTCTTTATCTTGCTCCACTTGTTTGAGAGATAAGAACACATACACACACACACAAACAACTGAAACTTGCATTTCACTACATCCTTTGTTTTCATGTCCTTAATTTGCTGCACCTGTTAGACAGATGAGAACACACACACACAGACACACACACAAACAACTGAAACTTGCTTCCACTACATGCTGTTTTCATATCTTTATCTTGCTGCACCTGTTAGACAGATGAGAACGAAAAAAAAAAAAAAAAAGCGCGCGCGCACACGCACGCACGCACGCACACACAAAAACAACTGAAACTTGCTTCCACTACATGCTGTTTTCATATCTTTATCTTGCTCCACCTGTTAGACAAATGAGAACACACATACATACAAACAACTGAAACTCATCTTTAACTAAAGGCTTTTCATGTCTTTATCTCTCCCTGTAGAGAGACAAAAACACAAAAACACACACACAAAAACCAACTGAAACTTGTCATAGTATATCTGCCTGAGAGGTGAGGGACCAACAGTCTGCACACAATTAAGCCTGATCAGTAAAATGGATGTGGATGCAAAACTCAGATTCTGGAACAAGACTAAAGTCTAGAAGTGGATGAATAACCAGAACTTTCCACCAGAGTTGACAGCTAGTGAAGGCAAAGAAGAAGATTAAACTGATAGAGAAAAACAAACATGTAAAAGGGAATCAGACAGCAAAATGACAGAAATGGGAAGGACATGGAGTGAATAAAATGTGACAGGAAAAGATAGGATGACGTGGCACATATTGGATGAGGGCTACGCTCATTGTGGAGAAAGGGCAGGACAAGAAGACAAAATGATAGAATAGGATGTCTCAGTGGCCAGGTCATTTGCCTCACCCTCTGAAGGTCCTTGGTTTGTTTTCAGACTGTATCGTTCTGTTTACAAGTGCAAGGCTTTTAGTGACTCTATGGTGTGTTTGCTGGAACCGCACAGTTTATGCTCAGTGCAATGATCTCAGCAGAAGGCCAGCCACTCAACCAGAGATCAAGCTAAATAAGATAAAACCCAATGCAATGAGGTGGATCTTTCACTGTTAATCCCCTAACAATTAACTGAACAGAAAAATGTCATGTATAATAACAAAATGTTACTGCAAAACAGTTCAATGCAACTGACAAATGAAGAAGATGTGGGCTACAAGTTCATGATTAGGTGCACTCACTCATGCTCCTCCAGTCTGTTCTTCAGCTGATTCAAAATCACTTGCTGATGTGCTGAGTGTGACTGCAGAGCCTGGAAGATGCAAATATGGATACTGAGTTCATCTGTCATACTAAACTCTTATATATAGCATAGTGCCATTAAACTTTTATATATATCATAGTCCCACTAAACTATTTAATATACCATAGTCCCACTAAACTCTTATATATATCATAGTCTCACTAAACTCTTATATATACCATAGTCCCACTAAACTCTTATATATACAATAGTCCCACTAAACTGTTATATATACAATAGTCCCACTAAACTCTTATATATACCATAGTCCCACTAAACTCTTATATATACAATAGTCCCACTAAACTCTTATATATACAATAGTCCCACTAAACTCTTATATATACAATAGTCCCACTAAACTATTTAATATACCATAGTCCCACTAAACTCTTATATATATCATAGTCTCACTAAACTCTTATATATACCATAGTCCCACTAAACTCTTATATATACCATAGTCCCACTAAACTCTTATATATATAGTCCCACTAAACTGTTATATATACCATAGTCCCACTAAACTCTTATATATACCATAGTCCCACTAAACTGTTATATATACCATAGTCCCACTAAACTCTTATATATACCATAGTCCCACTAAACTCTTATATATATAGTCCCACTAAACTGTTATATATACCATAGTCCCACTAAACTCTTATATATACCATAGTCCCACTAAACTCTTATATATACCATAGTCCCACTAAACTCTTATATATACCATAGTCCCACTAAACTCTTATATATATAGTCCCACTAAACTGTTATATATACCATAGTCCCACTAAACTCTTATATATACCATAGTCCCACTAAACTGTTATATATACCATAGTCCCACTAAACTCTTATATATACCATAGTCCCACTAAACTCTTATATATACCATAGTCCCACTAAACTCTTATATATACCATAGTCCCACTAAACTTTTATATATATCATAGTCCCACTAAACTCTTATATATACAATAGTCCCACTAAACTGTTATATATACCATAGTCCCACTAAACTCTTATATATACAATAGTCCCACTAAACTCTTATATATACAATAGTCCCACTAAACTCTTATATATACCATAGTCCCACTAAACTTTTATATATATCATAGTCCCACTAAACTCTTATATATACCATAGTCCCACTAAACTTTTATATATATCATAGTCCCACTAAACTCTTATATATACCATAGTCCCACTAAACTCTTATATATACAATAGTCCCACTAAACTCTTATATATACCATAGTCCCACTAAACTCTTATATATACCATAGTCCCACTAAACTTTTATATATATCATAGTCCCACTAAACTCTTATATATACCATAGTCCCACTAAACTCTTTTATATACCATAGTGCCACTAAACTCTTATATACATCATAGTCACACTAAACTCTTATTTATATCATCAGTCAGCAGGTCCCTTACACAGAAATGTTCTTGTGCGGCACACCTGAAAGCCCTATGTGCTTTTATAGCCAATACATCTTCAGTGTCTTGCACCCCCTTTTTTTTTACAGAGGTCTGCTTCTGCCTCATTTTCTGGAAACTGTACTCTTCACCACCATTCTTTCCCAGGTCACTATGACTTCTAACATGGCCGATATACCTCGGCTTTCGTGACAGGATGCTGGTAATGAGCAAATTCTCCTCAGCCAGTTCTTCTCTCTCTCTCTCTTGATATATATATAGAGTAAAGGACTCTTTTTGGTGCCTTTAGGCATACAGAGCTAGATCTCTATTTTATAGACCAACTGGCACTTGGTGGGGATTTGGTCAGCACCACGGCAGCCACCTTTACTTCCCAGGACTGCACCTGGTAGCCACTCAAGGCTGGGTCGACCTGGCAGCTTATGTCATTTCTGAAAGAAGTCAGGCTCCATCAGAACTTGAACCCATGACCTTTCATATATATATAAACACACACATTTCATACACACATTCACAAATATACCTAACTAATTTCTAGTGTATCTGGAGAAGCCAGATTTCTTAATTATACACTAACCAAATGTAAAAAGTATGAGCTGATTAGATGAAAGCTGAGATTTACTGGATAAAGCCAGTAACATATTATCCAGTTTTTAAAGGATGGATTAATTAAGTACTATCAATAAATAATTGATCTCTCACAATTCCCACATCAGAGAAACAAATGCATGAACATTTACTGCTGACACTTACCCTGAGTTTGTCACTCTCATTTGCCTTTTCATCCAGCTCCATCTTTGTCTTGCTGTATGACTTCTGCAGTCTGGTAATCTGTTCCAACAGTGTTCTGTGTAAAGTAAATACAGGGTATCCATTAGTTCTTGTGTAGCCCCTAACTTAAAGAAAACCTGGATCAAGATCTCTGCGACCAAATGGCGAAGCCATTTGCCTTGTGCTCTGAATATCATGAGTGTATTTAATAAGTGTATTAGTGTTCATAAGTTTTTTTTTTTTTTTTAACAGAGGTGTCCACAACATGGGGTTACGGCTTAGCTATAAAGTTTTAGCAACTCCAATGACTGAGTTTGTAAATCTCTTTAGACCCACATTATCTATCTAAGGCTCCAATTTGTCCAAGAGACTTAACACCCATATATCTAGTCATTTTTTAGTTACGCTATTTTTTTTCTTCTAGCTAGCATTTATTTCTGGCGGTCACACACGTCTACCTATGTGCCAGTCCTGACCCTACTGGTGTGAGTCATGGGCAATGACAGATTCGCAGTCAGACAATGGTCATGATCTTGAAACCCAGTCCTTACAAACTCGCGTGGATCAGTCACAGTTACGATGGTTTTGGTTGTATATGCAGAATGGGAGAGAATCCGCCACCACGGCAGGCATAGGAGATCAAGAACCAGATAACCAGACCACCAAGGTGACCCAGGGTTCACTGGGAAGACAACACTCAACAATCCCTGACTGACAGAAAATTGAAATGGAACAATGTCAAAAAAGAAAACTGATGCAAGAGAATGTCGGTGATCTCTCTGGCAAACCTCTACAGCCCAGAATAGAAGAGGACCTACTAAGTAAGTAAGCAAGTCACACATGTGTCAGAGATCTAGCTGGCCAGACAGACATGTGATTCTTTTTTTGAGACACTTCAGCAAAGTGATTATGTTTATTCTTGTTCATATTTGTGTATTGTGCTGATGAAGGCTCTGTAGCTGCCCTATTCTCTTGTCCTTTATGTTTAGGATAACAAGTAGCTGACTGGCTTTACTTTTTGTTTGGTTTGATATCTTTTCAAGACATTTTTTTACACAGTTCCCTGCACTGTCACGGAGCAATAGAGTTCATAAGTTCGTGTGTGGAGAGAGAGAGAGAGAGGGGGGAAGAGAGAGAGAGAGAGAGAGGGGAGAGAGAGAGAGGAGAGAGAGAGAGAGAGAGAGAGAGAGAGAGAGAGAGAGAGAGAGAGAGAGAGAGAGAGAGAGAGAGAGAGAGAGAGAGAGAGAGAGAGAGAGAGAGAGAGAGAGAGAGAGAGAATCATATGGGATAAACCCTGTGCAATAAAGTTGATCCTCTTGACTTTATATCTTCAAACTTTTAACTTTTATAACTTAAGGGGAAAAACCCAACTGTTTGAAACTTTTCAATCCCAAACAATGCTCCATGTAGGACTGGATTTACTTGTATGCACCAGTTAACATATTATTATGCTTGTACATTTTATATCTAGTCAGGGCATGCTAAAGCCTGAACAACACAATTGTCTCTACTGTGCGATTTGCGATGCAAAGGGAATCTGTAACAGATAAGACTTCCCTGCCCATGACCACATCCACAGTCTCAAAATACTTCTGGCTCAGAAAACTGGTTATAAATCCAGAGAAGGCCCTGGGAATTTGAGACTGTGATGATGACCACGTGACAGGAGTTAGAAAGGTAAGACTAGCTCTGTACAGGTGTAAAACCGGACATCTAATCATTTTGTCTCACACACACACTCCTGCCATACAAATTAAAAGCCTCCAGAAAGATAACAAGAACAAGAATAAGAAAGCTATCTTCCAGACCACGGCTGCTGAAGTTGGTACTTTCGTACAAATTTGGTACTATCTGATCCTCGACGAACAAAACTGTACTTTTGGTACTATACCCGATGTTTTGGTATGTTTGAGAAATTGTGTGTTATTATTTTAAAGGTTAGCATTGTGCCGAATCTTTTAAAGAAAAGAGGCAAGAGGTGTTTGGGGGTGTTCTATAAAAAGGCATGATTCAGTTGTTGATACAAATTTACCATTTGACGTAATCGATTAGGTGCGCTTTTGTTTCATTTCAAAGGCCAATGCAGGAGTGTCCATCCAGACAACTGGAAAATGGTTCTCTTTCCTGTCTTTCATCACAGTTTAACATTTCAATTTATTTCATGCTCAAGCTTTTCTGAATGTTTGATTTTTATAAGAATAAAAAAAAAAAAAAAAACACTTCAGTTTATAATTTAGGAAGAAATATGCGCATATGTAAATCACTTTGCACTAGAATGCTTATGTGCATCAACTGGAAGCTGCATCAATAGTTTTGTAACAAACTGACTGAAAAACAACAAATATAACAATAATATAAATGACACAGAATTTATATTCAGATCAAATATAAGGTAAACCAGTTTGATATTATATGGGTGTGTGCAAGTTCACATTAACTTACAATGTAACAGGAACACTAGAAAGAGTGATTGGAAAAAACAAATATAATTTTCTTCCTCTGTGAGGAGTTAGATATGTGGCTCAGCTGGATTCAGAGCCATGTGGCGTCACATTCACCTGGTGAAACTTGTGGACTTCTGACTTCTTCTTGACTCAGTGCAGCTCAGAAATCCTGATGATTGGGTTTGTTATACAGTGTTGACTTGGCTTGATTCAGAGTAAATATTTCATAATTTGGGTATTTTCCACTAATAGCAACCAGTGTCTCATGTTAATTGTTTATTCCTTAGTCTAGGCCAGCTTTTCCCAAACTGTTCTTAGTGCCAGGCGCCTTTTTTCAATAAAAATTTGTCCACAGCGTTCATAACCTAAGTAAAAATATGACTATTCTATGTAAGAGATCAAAACAAATAAAACTCGTGTATCTTCGAATATTTGGCGGCCAACTGTGAAGAGGTCGCGGCTCCCCAGGGCCCCGCAGCGCACAGTTTGGGAATCATTGTTCTAGATGTTTGAAGATAATAAAATCCTTCCTAGAAACTCGAATTATTCAAATGTCCACAGGACATCCATTACAGATGGAGATGCTAGAGATCTGTAACAGGAAAATATTACAATGTAAATACAGAGCAAACAAAATTAAATGAACAAAATAAGGAAATGTCACTACTTACTCTTTTTCTGATGTCAGAATCATGATCGCTTTACTCTGCTCTCTGGAAACAAAAATAAGGAAAGATTTTAGAAGACAGAAAGATATTTTTAGCAGTCTTAACTCTTGGTCTCTGTATTTTTAATCAAAAAAAAAAAAAAAAAGGAATTCAAGGAGCCAGAAACAACTGATAATAAATAAAATGACACAAAATGTTATCAGAAAGCATGATAAAAAAAAAAAAATGTAGACAGACACTGACAGACTAATACAGGTAGAAAAGACATGGAAAGATATGGGTATACTAACAAAACATAAATATGGTGGCACCTTGGTATACATTTCACTTTGGCAGGTGCATTGGGCATATAAGGCTAGACCAATATTTTATGGACCAATCAGCACTGACAGGGCGAAGTGTTCAAAATCACACCAGCCACTTTTACTTTCCCAGGTCTGGGCCTGGCATCCATTTGAGGTTGGGTCAACTTGTGAGCTAAGGTCATTTTTTGAGAAAAAAAAAAAAACTGGGTCCATCAGAATCGGAACCCACACCACTGTTTACAGGAAAACACTAATTTACTAACATAAATAAATATATAGACACATGGAACAAACTAATATAAACGTAGATGAGAAGTTTAAATTAAGGTGAAACATTTGTAAAATTAAGTAATGGGCCCTTTTCCACGGTATAGGGCTAGACCTATAATTTTATAGACCAAGCGGCACAAAATGGGTGATGTGATCAGCACCACGCCAGCCGCCTTTACTTCCCAGGACTGCACCCGGTACCCACTCAAGGCTGGGTCGACCCGGGAGTCAAGGTCATTTTTTTTAAAAAAGTCCGGCTCTGTCAGGGAGCAAACCCACAACCTTCCGATCTGCACGTGAGCGTCTAGCCGCTATGCCACGACTCCCGTGAAACATATGAATAGACTAAAACAAACTTGATAAATTCCAAACAGTAAAAAAAAAAAAAAACTAGAACTCAATAAATTTAATTAAGTAAATAAGACAGAGTAAAATAAGCAGACAAAACAGAATAAAATAAGTAGACAGAAAACAGTATAATATAGGTAGACAAACCACAGAATTAAATAAACAGATAGGTAGGTAGCTGTACCCCATCAGGACAACACACAAGCGATAAACAGCCGGTTCCACAAAGTGCCACCCTGCAGATGAGGATCAACTGTGGAGAGGTCCCAGAAACCCCTTTCAGCTGTTTAAGCATTATCTATGGCTTGGCCATATCTATGGCCCAGCTATATTCAGGGTCCCCAGCTAAAGCCAGGGTGGGACTTCAAAATAACAAAAAATTGCATTCCACGTGAGAAAGACTTTAAAAAAAAAAAATAAGCAGACAAAACATAAAACAATAAGTAGATAAAATACAGAACAAAACAAGTAGACAAAATATGGAATAAAATAAGCAGGCAAAATACAGAATAAAATCATCATCATCATCAACTTGTAGCAGGTCCTTTGCAGAATGTCGCTCACATCACTGTCTGCGTGTCAGAAACTTGGTCTCTTGCCATCTCTTCCGCCTTGTGCACCTTCATATCCAAAGAGTCACTTATATGAGAAATGTATTACATTCATGTTTTTACTATTACACCAGGTTAAATCAGAGTATAAGAGCCTAAATTCTGATCATGAACAAACAAACAAATACAACAATATAGATTGTCACCTGATTTTGTTACCGAGTTTTTCATTGGCCATTCTGTCCAGAAATGAAAAATGAAAAAGAAACGCATGAAAAAAATGCATGAAAAAACCCAATACTAAATGCAGACATAAAACAGTAAACCAGCAACCATTGGTAAGCAAGTAAATCAAATCAAAAACTTTATAACAAACTTTTTGAAGAAACTAACAGTGGTTAATGCTAAAAAATACATCTATATATGTTGAGAAAATCTATTTTATTTCATTAATTGTAGAAGCAAAGAATTTTTCTCTAACATATCCTCTCTATTAACCCTTTAAGTTACAGAAAATGAGACAGCTGATGTCGAATGGGAACACAATTTACAAAGAGTTAAATAAATAAATTATGAAGGCTTTTTTCTTAAGACACAGCATGAAAGATACTGCCAGATATATTTAGTACAGGTTTAGGTTTAAACAACGGATCAACATCATGGCACAAGGGTAGTAACCCATAAGTGCTCCGTTCTACTTCTAACTCAAGTCTGAGTCTGAAGAATCTCAGCTCTGTAGCACCAGCAAGGATCCTGAAATACTTTGGGTAGATTTTTAACTCCAAATATGCTTTCCTATATGGGTTTCAGGGTCCAATTGTAAGAGAAAAAAAAAAAAAAAAAGGAACAGACCCACCACCACTTTAACAAGCATGTCATAAAAGGTGACTTATTAGGCATGTTTCCTATGAAGTCAGTGTATCCGCCTGAGAGGCAAGGAACCAATAGTCTGCATACAAATAAGCCAGACCTGTAAAAACGGACGTGCATGTTATACATAAGTTCTGGAACAAGACCAAACAAGTAGACGTACAACCAGAACTTTCCACTACTATTTGCCGGCGAACGCTAAGATGAATTAAAAAAAAAAAGATTTAGTAAACTGAGACTGAATTTAAAGTATATAACAAACCACACGTTTAAAAAATAATATATACAGGCAACAGCTGATTAAACATGATGTGATGCAAGGGACTGAAAAATTTAACTGATAATGTATGTATATTGTCACTAAAAATATTACCCCTGATGAAAATGTATACATACTTGTGATATTAGGTAACTATAAAGAACGTCCTCGCCAACTGACAAGGCACATGATGATAACGATGTCTATCATTACGGATTCTTACATTGGGCTAATTTTATTGCACATGCACGCGAAGTTGGATGATAAAATGAAACATATATTAATCAAACTAAACACTGCTGAGCCAAATCTAAACAATATTAATATACGCTGATTTGATTTCTATGTTGGATGTGAAAATGTCTATTTATGAAAGCTAGTTCAAGAATAAACAGATTATATATGTTAATATCAAATATGATTTAAAATTAGGATGAGGTTGGATGCAGTGGAGATGGGGTTTCTGAAGCAAATTTTGTGAATACCTGGCTAGCTGTGTCTGCAGCGGTTGGTGAAGGAAGTATGGATAGTGCAAAAACATGGCATATTAAAAGAATTTCAGATGGCAGAGAAGCTAAAAACTGTATACACGAGGGAGATGAATGGTCATAAACCACGAGGCAGACCAAAAAGACGATGGAGAGATAATATCCAATCAGATCTGCAAACACTTAGTGTCATCAACTGGAAAGAAAAGGCCAACCAGAGAGATGAATGGAGGCGGATGAAATCTGCAGCAATGAACCTCAAGGGCTCGGAATGCTGAAGAAGAAGAAGAAATAAGAACAAGCATACAGAAATAGGTTTTGGGGCAAAGATAGAAGACACACCACTCAACCCCTGCTGGGTACACTGAGCATGGAAATATTGATATGGCCCTTGGGTCGGAGAACGGAGCATGAATTGGAAGGACGTGCTAGGGTCCACACAAAAAAAAAAAAGTAGTCTAGGATTTAACTGATGATTGCCTGGAAGACTCAAATGAAAGTGGAACATTTAAGGCAGCTATAAGAAAGATACAAATGTTTTTCTGTGGGCAAGTGATGAAAAGAAAGGTATTGGATGATACACTGTGATGACCAAAATGATCTGTGGTAGCAGAAGCAGAGGTAGAACAAGGGATATAATGCTGGTTGGACTAAGATGGTGGCATAAAGAAATATCACTAAGAAAATAGAATAAGTTTTAGAAATGATCTGTATCTTAAGTTTAAAGATGACTTCATGTCTAGTTTAATATATCTGTTACAAAAAAAATAAAAAAAAAAAAAAATAAATAAAAAAAATTGTAAAAAAACTGGTGCCCTATTAATACATCACATACCATATACTGAAAATGCTATTTAAAATGTTTTTTTTTCAACTTTGTTACTTCTCATCTATTCTAGTACATAAAGAAATATAACTATATCTACTTGTATATGTTTCCACACCCCCCCCTCCACACACACACACACACATACACACCCTCACCAAAACACAAACACCCTCTCTCTGCTTTAATCCCCCACAGTAAAGCAAGCCCAGTATCACCGGGAACTGAACCCAGGATCCCTGGTGTGGGGCAAAGGAGAAGAACAGACCCACTGTCCCCTCACAAGCATGTAATAAAAGTCAACTAATTAGATATGTTTCCTTCAAAGTCAGAATGCATCTGCCTAAAAGGGGAGGAACCAACAGTCTGCTTACAAATAACCCAGATCTGTTATATGAATGTGCAGGAAAAACTCAAGTTATGGAACAAGAAAATAGTCCGGAAATGGAAGTACAACCAGAACTTTCCGCCAGAGCTTTCAGCCGGAGAAGAAGGTGATAAACATTTACCAAAGATAGAACACTCGCTTGTCTGAGCTTTCAGCTGATGAACTCTAAGAAGAAGAAGGTGATACACATTTACCAAAGATAGAACACTTGCTTGTCTGAGCTTTCAGCTGATGAACTCTAAGAAGAAGGTGATACACATTTACCAAAGATAGAACACTCGCTTGTCTGAGCTTTCAGCTGATGAACTCTAAGAAGAAGAAGGTGATACACATTTACCAAAGATAGAACACTTGCTTGTCTGAGCTTTCAGCTGATGAACTCTAAGAATAAGAAGAAGGTGATAAACATTTACCAAAGATAGAACACTTGCTTGTCTGAGCTTTTAGCTGATGAACTCTAAGAATAAGAAGAAGGTGATACACATTTACCAAAGACAGAACACTTGCTTGTCTGAGCTTTTAGCTGATGAACTCTAAGAAGAAGGTGATACACATTTACCAAAGATAGAACACTTGCTTGTCTGAGCTTTCAGCTGATGAACTCTAAGAAGAAGGTGATACACATTTACCAAAGATAGAACACTTGCTTGTCTGAGCTTTCAGCTGATGAACTCTAAGAAGAAGGTGATACACATTTACCAAAGACAGAACATTTGCTTGTCTGAGCTTTTAGCTGATGAACTCTAAGAAGAAGGTGATACACATTTACCAAAGATAGAACACTTGCTTGTCTGAGCTTTCAGCTGATGAACTCTAAGAAGAAGGTGATACACATTTACCAAAGATAGAACATTTGCTTGTCTGAGCTTTCAGCTGATGAACTCTAAGAAGAAGGTGATACACATTTACCAAAGACAGAACATTTGCTTGTCTGAGCTTTCAGCTGATGAACTCTAAGAAGAAGGTGATACACATTTACCAAAAGATAGAAACACTTGCTTGTCTGAGCTTTCAGCTGATGAACTCTAAGAAGAAGGTGATACACATTTACCAAAGATAGAACACTTGCTTGTCTGAGCTTTCAGCTGATGAACTCTAAGAAGAAGGTGATACACATTTACCAAAGATAGAACACTTGCTTGTCTGAGCTTTCAGCTGATGAACTCTAAGATGAAGGTGATACACATTTACCAAAGATAGAACACTTGCTTGTCTGAGCTTTCAGCTGATGAACTCTAAGAAGAAGGTGATACACATTTACCAAAGACAGAACACTTGCTTGTCTGAGCTTTCAGCTGATGAACTCTAAGAAGAAGAAGGTGCTGATGAACTCTAAGAAGAAGGTGATACACATTTACCAAAGATAGAACACTTGCTTGTCTGAGCTTTCAGCTGATGAACTCTAAGAAGAAGAAGGTGCTGATGAACTCTAAGAAGAAGAAGGTGATACACATTTACCAAAGATAGAACACTTGCTTGTCTGAGCTTTCAGCTGATGAACTCTAAGAAGAAGGTGATACACATTTACCAAAGATAGAACACTTGCTTGTCTGAGCTTTCAGCTGATGAACTCTTAAGAAGAAGGTGATACACATTTACCAAAGATAGAACACTTGCTTGTCTGCTCAATTCCTCGTCAAAGTGGAATTTAAAAAATAGCCTGAGCTTAGGTGTTGACCCAACCTTATAACTGGTAACAGGAAATGATCTGGGAGGTGAAAGCAGGGAGCGTGACATAGACCACATCTCTCACTGAGTATGTATGTATGTACAAGGGTTGGGGATTCAGAGCTGTGCCTATATGGACAGACATCACAGAATACTTAACACGTAGCTACAGACATGCTGTCTACATGCAGTAGAGTAATCCCAAACATTCCAATGGAAACCAAACTGTATGGATCAGTGGATGACATGCATTGCACCATTCAGGCCTGTGGTCTTCTCATCCGAAAACCACTGGCAGGGAGAAGGAAAAGACAAAGTATAGGTTCATATCCAGAATGTGGCTAGCAAAATATGCCCAACATATGGAGCTAGTAAAATATGCTCAACACATGGGGCAAGTAAAATATGCCCAACACATGGGGCTAGCAACATATGCAGAACACATGGGGCTAGTAAAATATGCCCAACACATGGGGCTAGCAACATATGCCCAACACATGGGGCTAGTAAAATATGCCCAATACATGGGGCTAGTAAAATATGCCCAACACATAGGGCTAGCGAAATATGCCCAACACATGGGGCTAGTAAAATATGCCCAAGACATGGGGCTAGTAAAATATGCCCAAGACATGGGGATAGTAAAATATCCCCAAGACATGGGGCTAGTAAAATATGCCCAAGTCACTTCAAGGTCTGGAAACAGGTCCTTAAATGATTTTACCTTAATTAAGAGGAGCGGCTGGCTGAATGGTCAGAACACTGGGCTCCCAAGTGGAAGACCTGGGTTCAAGTCCTCAGTAAGGCTTGGGATTTTTTCCCTGTTAGGGGCAATAATAAAATCCTTACTTGCACAGTCTGTGGCAACAGCACTAGCCATGCAGCCCTAAATCCTTAGGTTCAAACCCCCCCCCCCCCTTTTTTTTCTTTAACACTGTAAAAGTGGTAAATTCAGGTAGCAATGATTGTAGTTAGACCAGTAGTCTTCTCTCTTCCATATTTCTGGTCAATCTGAAACAGGAAGCCTTTTTTCGTAACATTTGCCTATCTTTTTTAAACTTTTGCTTGAAAAAATGCTTGTGTGCTAAGCCATCCCCTCCACCTAGGGCAAAATAACGAACCTCCCGAACACCATCCTCGTTGTAACAAACATCCCCCAGACCCACGCCCTCAAACACATCCTCTTTCACAACTGGCCCCTCTGTTTTGTCAGCATGGTTTTTAATGTCTGCCCAGACGCACTTTTGTTCCTGCACCCATGTGTTAACGTTGTGGACCACGAGCTCCGACTCCCGATGCAAACGGTCGCCATTAGCCCGTGACTCTTCCAGAGCCATTCGCAGCCCGGCGATTTCCTCACTGGCTCCGCGATAGTTCTGCTTCATCATTTCCAGCTCACCCAGTAATTTGCCAGCCTGAAAAAATACAAACACAAGAAATGACAGGGAAGATCGATTAGTCTGTCCCCTCCAGGATGCTTCTTGGTTTACCATATCATCCTTAAATTAAAAATCTCAATCTAAGATTTAAGGTTTACACAACGGATCGACATCATGGCCCAAGGGTAGTAACCCATAAGTGCTCTGTTCTACTTCTAATTCAAGTCTGAGTCCAAAGAAGTGCAGTGCACTAACTGGAGCAGCGGCAAGGATCCTGAAATACTTTGGGTAGATTTTAACTCAAAATTTAGCCTGGGCAGCGCCGTTAGGCTACTCTTTTTGATTTCCAACTGCCACGGGATTTTTTTAAGTGCGCAATAATACACACAGGCATCTGATATTACTACCCAGAGACCAGCGGAAATTACTAGAAGTCCACGCAAAAAAATCCCAGCCTTCATTGGGGCTTGAACCCCGGACCGCCTGCACACGAGGTGGACGCCATGCCTCGAGAAAACACAGTCACCCCCCCAACTCTCAATCTAAATCTCAATCTGGAAGGCAGACCAAGAGGTCAGATTCACGATACCCTATTCAACCTCTAAAGAAGCTATAATTAGGGCATCAGTAATGGCTACACCACTTAGCTGTAACCTGCAGATCTGAGCAGGTAAGGAAAATAAGGTAGATGGTGCTAAGATGAACAAAATATTAGAATTATTTGCATGTGGATTTGTGTATTTAAATCCTATCCTCATATATAGAAGTGAATCATGGACTGTTGGACGATTAGTGAAAAATTATTTAAAAGCAGAGAACATGTGGTTTTATAGATGAAGAATGAGAATACACTGGACAGGTAAAAGGAGTAATGAACATGTTTTGAAAGAAACTTGACTCACAAAGAGAACATGTTTTGAAAGAAACTTGACTCACAAAGAAAACATATTTTGAAAGAAACTTAACTCACAAAGAGAACATGTTTTGAAAGAAACTTGACTCATGCAATGGGGGATATTTTCACCCAGTTTAGGATGGTTGGGGGGAAGGCCCAAAACTGACCTAAAACACCGAGATAGTCCAGATACTCGGATTCAACGAGAATCTGGAGATAGGTGAAGACCACTAGTTATCACGGGTATCACGATGATGCGACCCAAGGTTGCCACGTGAAAAGTAAAGGACCACCACGTGTTGTCACGTGAAACTAACCCGTGGTATAAGTCAGACTTGACTCTGGTCAAGTTTAGTTTGTGTCGACCTGTTGGAGTGAGAGGACGTACGACTGAAAGTGAGAATGCCAACGTGAGAGTGCTTGTGGAGAAAGGAGACCCTGCCGACGAAGTGTGAAGCCGAGATCGAACATGCCAGTGTGTGAGATGGCCAGAACCTCAACGTGAGTGAATCCATGGGAGCCGATTTTGGTCCGTGAATGCTTGAAGAAGTCTGCTCGCTGAAGGCTGCATGAAGTTGTGTGCGAGCACTGTTTACTAGGACACCGACAGGACATTCTTGTATGTAAGTGTAAATATGTCAATAAACTCATGTCTCGTAAGCTTACATTGGTGTCGGCTTGTGCCAGTTGTGTAATGTGGAGCGTGTGAGAAGATCATCCACCACACACGCATGAACACTACCTAGACAGCGAGAAGAAACACACACCATTTATTACAACTCACAAAGAGAACATGTTTTGAAAGAAACTTGACTCACAAAGAAAACATATTTTAAAAGAAACTTGACCCACAAAGAGAACATGTTTTGAAAGAAACTTGACTCACAAAGAAAACATATTTTGAAAGAAACTTGACTCACAAAGAAAACATGTTTTGAAAGAAACTTGACTCACAAAGAGAACAAGTTTTAAAAGAAACTTGACTCACAAAGAGAACATGCTTTGAAAGAAACCTGACTCACAAAAAGAACATTTTTTGAAAGAAAGACTCACAAAGAGAACATGCTTTGAAAGAAACTTGACTCACAAAGAGAACATGTTCTGAAAGAAACTTTACTCACAAAGAGAACATGTTTTGAAAGAAACTTGATTCACAAAGAGAACATGTTTTGAAAGAAACTTGACCTACAAAGAGAACAAGTTTTGAAAGAAACTTGACTCACAAAGAGAACATGCTTTGAAAGAAACTTGACTCACAAAGAGAACATTTTTAAAAGAAACTTGACTCACAAAGAGAACATGTTTTGAAAGAAACTTGACCCACAAAGAGAATATTTCTTAAAAGAAACTTGACTCACAAAAATAACATGTTTTGAAAGAAACTTGACTCACAAAGAGAACATGCTTTGAAAGAAACCTGACTCACAAAGAGAACATATTCTGAAAGAAACCTGACTCACAAAGAGAACATGTTTTGAAAGAAACTTGACTCACAAAGAGAACATGTTCTGAAAGAAACTTGACTCACAAAAAGAACATGTTTTGAAAGAAATGTGACTCACAAAGAGAACATGTTTTGAAAGAAACTTGATTCACAAAGAGAACATGTTTTGAAAGAAACTTGACTCACAAAGAGAACAAGTTTTGAAAGAAACTTGACTCACAAAGAGAACATGTTTAAAAAAAAAACTTGACTCACAAAGAGAACATGGTTTGAAAGAAACTTAACTCACGAAGAGAACATGTTAAAAAAAAAAAACTTGACTCACAAAGAGAACATGTTTTGAAAGAAACTTGACTCACAAAGAGAACATTTCTTGAAAGAAACTTGACTCACAAAGAGAACATTTCTTGAAAGAAACTTGACTCACAAAGAGAACATGTTCTGAAAGAAACTTGACTCACAAAAAGAACATGTTTTGAAAGAAACGTGACTCACAAAGAGAACATGTTTTGAAAGAAACTTAATTCACAAAGAGAACATGTTTTGAAAGAAACTTGACTCACAAAGAGAACAAGTAAAAAAAAAAACTTGACTCACAAAGAGAACATGTTTTGAAAGAAACTTGACTCACAAAGAGAACATGTTTAAAAAAAAAACTTGACTCACAAAGAGAACATGGTTTGAAAGAAACTTAACTCACAAAGAGAACATTTTTTGAAAGAAACTTGACTCACAAAGAGAACATGTTTTGAAAGAAACTTGACTCACAAAGAGAACATGTTTTGAAAGAAACTTGACTCACAAAGAGAGCTTACTGCCCACATTAGAAAGAGACAATCTACATTCTTTGGTTATGTCATGAGAAAGGACTCAGTCAACCTTGGCAGCCCTGATGGTGAAACAAACACAGGCTCATCAGGCAAGAGTGGCAGTGACACACAATTAGTCATCATCATCCTTTTCCACTTCTGTTGTTAAGCGTGGTGGGGAGGAACAGTTTGTGATCCCTTGCATGATGGGCGGTGCTGGCTACTGTCATTCTGTGTCGATGTAGAAGCTCTTCAATGTCATCTTCTCCTATGGCAGCCTTTTGTTTTCACTTCAGATCTTTTCATATGTAGCACCAGCATCGGTAGCTGTTCTAGAAACATTTAGTGGCAACATAATTTTGAGACGCAGTTCTGTTACCTAGAGCTCAGTGAAATGGTTTCACAATACACTCGACGTTTACCAGAGTTTGAGACCCATGGCAGGCGGTTTAGTAACATACTATTCTCACTGCTTTCAGACAGTGGTAAGAGAGCTGCACCCTGGAAGAGAGTGAGGTCTCACAACATAATATTCCAGTAGTTAGCAACGGCTACATTGTGGTCAACCTCCATTGTGGAAACAGCACAATTAAAAAAGAAAAAAAAATTATTTATGCCAGCATCTCATACAGACAGAGGTACCTCATCATTGGCAGCCTTGTATTTCTCTTGTAGAGCAGTCATCTCCACCTTCAGCATGACAATCTGCTCTTCCCTGGCCGACAGCTCCTGCAGGCCATGCTTCTGCTTCTCTTGGCTGGAGACCAGATCCATCTGTAGGCTTGTGTAGCGCTCTTCAAAGTGCTGCAGCTGGAGATAAGAAAGTTTCTCTCATCAAAGAACACATGCAAGTTGTTCCTGCAACACAAAAAATGTATTATTCGTTGCATACTATGTATCTGAAACAGTTTTGTTACTGTACTAAAAAAAAAAAAAATTACAATTAAATAATTTTGACGTTCAAAATCTCCGCAATTTGAGTAAAACTATTCACACTGCATACATGAATACCTTAGGGTTTAATTAATTCATTGACAGTTCTTTTGCACCTGGGTCACTGATAGTTTTTAGGAGTACAGGCTTTTCTGTCAACTAATACAAACTATTTTATGCTTCACCATGTGCTTATCAGTGACCAATTACCGAAATATTTTTCTCAACAAACTCCCTCACCCCCCACCACCGTTGTCAACTACTCCAGTATGTACCAACTGTTGTTACTTGATCCTAGTGACCTACATGATTATTATTTTAACTCATTTAGACCCAGCATTCATAAGTTTATAATCTCAACTGCTTTGGACAGAGGGATTTGAAGAAACAAGTGCGTGAGACTGAAAGAGTTAAAATGATAAGTAAACATGATCATTATCATTGTTTTGTGATGCTAAATGTTACACACAGCTCACAGTTAATTCTTCTATTTTGTTGTTGTTGTTGTTGTTCTTTCGTTTCCTTGAAATAGATTATCTATATCTGCAATGTTGTATGCAGATACAGACATTTTTCCTGTAGCATTTATGCATGGCATATCGATTTTTGGGGTACACCTCCTGTCTGGTTGCCTCTGACTTCAGCGCCTTATTTTAATTATTTTCGTAAGCTAGATCGGCATGCTGGTATGTGGGACCAAACTATCCACCCTGACATGTGTGCACGCCTGTAAACAGGACTTCATATTCATAATTGGCACATCAACATTTATACTTAACATCAATCTTAGCCGATGAATCACTGTTGTTTTGGTGACCATTATAATGCACCCAGTGTGGTCCACACCTGAGTATAATATTTTTGTAAACAATTCCAGACGTTAAAATTTCGGCCACCATTTTGTTGCGTCCAGTGCACGACATCTCATCATATTCTGTTCTTTCCTGCACAGTCAATTAATAAGCATGTCCTTTGCAGAATGTCACTCTCTTCATGGCATGCCTGAAAGTCTCTCGTTTTCTTGCCAGTTCTACAGCCCTCTGTGCCTTTATATCTTCAATGTCCTGTATCCCCTTCTGCGGAGGTCAACCTATGTCTTGTTTGCCTGAAACTGCACCCACAGCACCGTGACGCTTGACATGTCTAAAATACCTCAGCTTTCAAGAGAGGATGCTGTGTACCAACCTTGATGCTGAGGTCATGCAGAATGTCAACGTTTTTTTCCCTAGGGCCACAGTATTCTAAGAAATTTTCTTTAGCATTTCAGTTCAAAAGCTCTGATTTTCTTCTTCAAAGACTCACATCCATAAGTTGCCATGGGAAAAAGGCAAAATCTTAAAATGTTTACTACAACTTGTAGATGCTGTGCCATAGGCTCTTCATTCTTTCCTGCATAACTGTTTCAATATCATGAACGGAATCCAGCCCAGCATCTTTGGCCTCTCTCAACAATGTACATCCCAGGGTTTCTTTTGGAAAGCCTTGCCTCCTTCTATTTGTTTCCTACTCAAGTTTTTGTTGCATGATTCTCTGCTTGCTTCTCCTCAGAATGTGCTAAATATATCACCACCCTCTTTCTCATTTAACTGCTGATACTAATGGTTGTAGCCACTGTGGTGAAGCGGCTAGACGCTCGCCTGAAGATTGGAAGATCAAGGGTTTAGGGCCTGATGGAGCCAGACTTAAAAAAAATGTCCTTGCCTCACAAGTCAAGCAAGCCTCGAGTGGGTACTGGGTGTAGTCCTGGGAAGTAAAGGCAGCTGGCATGATGCTGACAATAAGAATGTCATAGGAGTTGACAAATTAGGAGCGCTTTCTTCAAAGTTGGAGCGGATCCGCCTAAAGCAGTGGTTCTCAACCTGCTAGTTGCGATCCTTTTTTAGGTCGAATGACCCTTTCACAGGGGTCGCCTAAGACCCTAGGAAAACAAATATTCATTGAAGTTATGAAGACAAATATTTGTTTAGGGGTGGCCACAACATGAGGGAACTGTATTAAAGGTCACAGCATTAGGAAGGTTTAGGGGTGGCCACAACATGAGGGAACTATATTAAAGGTCACAGCATTAGGAAGGTTTAGGGGTGGCCACAACATGAGGGAACTATATTAAAGGTCACAGCATTAGGAAGGTTTAGGGGTGGCCACAACATGAGGGAACTATATTAAAGGTCACAGCATTAGGAAGGTTTAGGGGTGGCCACAACATGAGGGAACTATATTAAAGGTCACAGCATTAGGAAGGTTTAGGGGTGGCCACAACATGAGGGAACTATATTAAAGGTCACAGCATTAGGAAGGTTTAGGGGTGGCCACAACATGAGGGAACTATATTAAAGGTCACAGCATTAGGAAGGTTTAGGGGTGGCCACAACATGAGGGAACTATATTAAAGGTCACAGCATTAGGAAGGTTTAGGGGTGGCCACAACATGAGGGAACTATATTAAAGGTCACAGCATTAGGAAGGTTTAGGGGTGGCCACAACATGAGGGAACTGTATTAAAGGTCACAGCATTAGGAAGGTTTAGGGGTGGCCACAACATGAGGGAACTATATTAAAGGTCACAGCATTAGGAAGGTTTAGGGGTGGCCACAACATGAGGGAACTGTATTAAAGGTCACAGCATTAGGAAGGTTTAGGGGTGGCCACAACATGAGGGAACTGTATTAAAGGTCACAGCATTAGGAAGGTTTAGGGGTGGCCACAACATGAGGGAACTATATTAAAGGTCACAGCATTAGGAAGGTTTAGGGGTGGCCACAACATGAGGGAACTATATTAAAGGTCACAGCATTAGGAAGGTTTAGGGGTGGCCACAACATGAGGGAACTATATTAAAGGTCACAGCATTAGGAAGGTTTAGGGGTGGCCACAACATGAGGGAACTATATTAAAGGTCACAGCATTAGGAAGGTTTAGGGGTGGCCACAACATGAGGGAACTATATTAAAGGTCACAGCATTAGGAAGGTTTAGGGGTGGCCACAACATGAGGGAACTATATTAAAGGTCACAGCATTAGGAAGGTTTAGGGGTGGCCACAACATGAGGGAACTATATTAAAGGTCACAGCATTAGGAAGGTTTAGGGGTGGCCACAACATGAGGGAACTATATTAAAGGTCACAGCATTAGGAAGGTTTAGGGGTGGCCACAACATGAGGGAACTATATTAAAGGTCACAGCATTAGGAAGGTTTAGGGGTGGCCACAACATGAGGGAACTATATTAAAGGTCACAGCATTAGGAAGGTTTAGGGGTGGCCACAACATGAGGGAACTGTATTAAAGGTCACAGCATTAGGAAGGTTTAGGGGTGGCCACAACATGAGGGAACTATATTAAAGGTCACAGCATTAGGAAGGTTTAGGGGTGGCCACAACATAAGGGAACTGTATTAAAGGTCACAGCATTAGGAAGGTTTAGGGGTGGCCACAACATGAGGGAACTATATTAAAGGTCACAGCATTAGGAAGGTTGAGGGGTGGCCACAACATGAGGGAACTATATTAAAGGTCACAGCATTAGGAAGGTTTAGGGGTGGCCACAACATGAGGGAACTATATTAAAGGTCACAGCATTAGGAAGGTTTAGGGGTGGCCACAACATGAGGGAACTATATTAAAGGTCACAGCATTAGGAAGGTTGAGAGCCTCTGGCCTAAAGGATGAGGAACCAACAGTCTGCATACAAATAAGTCAGATCTGTAAAACCGAATGTGCATTCAAAACTCAAAGCTCTCTTCTGGAACAAACCTAAATTCCAGAAGTTGACAAACAATCCGAACTTTCTGCCAGAGTCTACAGCAGTTGAACGCGAAAAAAGAACAGGATACACGATAAAAGCAATTAAAATATTCAAAAGGTATACCTCCTCCTCAGCTGTCTTGTTAATCTCCTGAGCTTTTTTGAGCTCCTGCTGTAGTTTCCTCAACTTGTCATCATAAAATATAATCTATTATAAACAGAAATTTAAAAAGAGGTCTTTTTAATGCATGAGTATCAGTACTGTTCTTTTTCACTCTAAGAGTCCCACGTTAAAACTACTACCTTCCCACCCTGTTTTCTATTATCCCCTGAACTTAATTTCTCACTTTTAAGATTTCCTATCCCATGTTAAAACTGCTCTCTTCCCACTCTAAGATTTCCTATGTCTCATGTTAAAATGGTTATCTTTCCACTCTAATATGTCCCCTATGTCCTGTGAAGGTCTATTGCTAACTTGCCACTCTAAGATTTTCTATTCCATGCTTAAACTGCTTTCTTTCCACTCTAAGATCTCTTGTACTAAAAACCCTAGCATCCCACTCTAATGTTTCCTATATCCTAGAAATTTAATTTCACAGTCTGAAAATGTCCTATCTCATGTTAAATCTGCTCTCTTCTCAATGGTTTTCCATGCAGCACTTTGAGTCTGTCTGCAATGGTTGGCAGTGCCAGCAAGTTCTGCATACATACTAATGGGGTTTCATTAACTGGTGGGTGAGCAGAATAGAGGGAATTAAATGGTATGATAGAATCACCAATGTTCAGCTTTGGGAGAGATCTAAACAAGTTCCAGTGGACCAACAATACAACTAGAATGTCATTCTACTGAAACCCACAGGGGTGTACAAAATAGATTGGGGGGTAGAAGGCAGCAGAAGAAAATGAAGAAGACTAGGGTATCTTACGTACACCCCAGAATGACCCGGACGACTTCACTCTATTTGTGTTAAAGCTGCAGGAGCCAAGTCTTCTATACGGTCAGCAGTCCTAGTTCCTAATTGATCACCAAGATGATCAAATGTTGGTAAATGGTAAAAAGCATTCTTTTCTTTATGTCCAATACTGCGCTAATTTTCAGTGTGTTGAGCCGCTTTTGCCATTCTGCTGCCTTCGTATGGTCACTGAAGGACAGTTTTCTGCTGAAGGTGATACCCAGGTACCTCAGTTCGCCACCTTCTCTTTTAAAGTTTCTATCCTTAACTAGGAAGCTTGGGACATTTTCTCAAACAGTCTTATTGTCCAGAGAGCACCATAAAACAACCAACTTTTCTGGATTTATGATAGCACTTATCTCTGTACACCTGCAATCACTTTGTTCAAGGTGGCCTGTGGCTCTTCAGCTGTTTGTTGCCTATTTTCCCAAGAGCCTCATTGATTAAGAATTAAGATAAACATTTTTACATATCAGATAACATAATACTGTTCCTGAGAAGTGTGAGAGACAGAGATAGAAAGCGAGAAAGAGAGAGACAGAGACAGAGAAAAGGGGGGGGGGAGGGCAAAAGGAAGAGAGCAAGTGACAGTGAGAAATTAAGAAAGAGCAACAAATAGAGGCAGAAAGAGCAAGAGATACAGACAGAGACAGTGAGAGAGAGAGAGAGAGAGAGAGAGAGAGCAAGAGGGAGAGAGCAAGAATATACAAACTTTATATTCAAAGGGTCACAAATTGGGCACATAGGCCCATCTTACATTCGGCCCTTCCAAGCACTGATCTTTCACACAGCAGTTGTATTTTATCAATAAAGCATGTTATGTTCATATAATAATATGCATATTATGAATATCAAGAGAAAACAAAAGCATGCACACACACACTCACATTCACACACCACAAGCCCATTTACTCACTTACACACAGATACATACACACCCACATACACACACACACACCCACATAAATACACACATAAATATTACAAACATAAACATTCCACACACATATACCCACATACATACATACACAGACACACAAAGACACCCCCACAGACATAAACATACACAAACATTTACAGACACATACATGCACGAACAGACACACCCAGCAAGAGATAGTAAGAGCCTACGAAACAGAGTGGCAGAGATAGAGAGAGAAAGAGACAGGTAAAGCCAATAAAAAAAGACTAAGAATAAAGACAAACCTTTTTACATACCATCCAACAACATGATAAAACTATGTCCGCCTACCTCTTCTTTCATGGAACTATTCTGCTGTGAAAGTTTAGCCAGCTCCGTCTTTCCAGTGGCCAGCTGGCGGGACTTCTCTGCCAGCTGTTCCATTGACTCTTTATGATTCCCTTGTATGTTGGTCACCTGCACCCTCAGCTCATGTATTTTCACATCAGCTTCCACCAGCTGTTGCCATAAAATCAGAGAAACCAAACACTAACCTATCAGCATGAGGCATTCAATTATTCCTGTGTGTAATTTAACTTTTTCAGTATGAGACGATTAAATTAGTTATAAATCAAGGTATGATGCAGTCCTTAAAGACTTAACCCTTTCACCCTGAGAAGCTGAAAATGCTCATTTCCAGCTGGGTCCAATTCCCCATAAATGTTACTTTTCTGACTTGGACCTGTTTATGTAATGCATAGTTAATGCTGTTGGCTGAGTCTGCACCTGTGAAAACTTTTTTGGTCACAATATGAATAATTCAACTAACAACAGCATTGGGAAAAAAAAGGGGGGAAAAAAGGGGGGGGGGGGGGGGGGTCTTGGAGCTAAATGGCTTTTTTAAAGCCAAAATGAAGTCAGGATTTTTTCATAAGCCTCATTGATGGAGGTCAAGGAGTTAGGACATGAACCATTTTATACATATGTAAAACCTGTTTATAAATTGTATTAATTGGGGGGGGGGGGGGGGGGGAGGGGGGTTCTGGAATCCTAACAGGGTAATGTCCTATTTGTTTTGTTTTTTGAAGTGCACCTGGGATAAAAGGGTTGAGGTTGAAGCTGTGACAGATCCAGTAAATAAGTAACGAAATTAAGAGTTAAAAAAAAAAAAAACCTCTCTGTACTCACTCACTTATCTACTTTCACGCACGCACGCACACACACACACGCACGCACAGACACACGCGCGCGTGGAGCGATCCACATCTACATCGTCAACAAATCTTATCATTAAATGTCACAAAAATGTTAGTTAGTTAGTTAGTCGACAGATTTTCTTCACTGCACATCAAACCATTAAATCCATAAGTGTTCAGATCTCCGCGGCTGACGGCGCCAGTCTGTGTTGGTTTCTTATTCTTCTTTGGTTTTCTGCGCAGTGCTCCTGTCTGGCCACACACCTTTTTAACATGCTGCTCTTGCAGTCTGGCCATTGTTGCAGATTTGCAGACATCACTGGCTTCTCGCAAATGTCTCACTTCTCGTAGTGCACTAAGTACATCAGCACAGTCCCTGGCACGTCCACCTATCAGCTTGCTCATTTCCTTGCACACCTGTGTGCCCTGGTATGAATATGAAACTGATATGCATCAGCCCTGACCACCTCAGAGATTCTAACCACTGTCTTCATTGTCAGAGAGAAATCATAGTCTAGACTTCCATTCTGTTATTTCTTGTTCAATCTTGTAGATATCACCGATCAAATCCAGTCCAACATCTTTAGCCTCTCTCAACAATGTTCCTCTCTAAGACGTCCTAGTTTCCTCAATCCATATGTTTCCCATCTGAGTGCCTGTTTAGTGATTCTCCTCATGCTGTGCCCAATAATTTGCTATCATGTTACTTATAACTCTTGACACAAATGGTCGTCCATGCATTTCCCTCATTACTTTTTTGTCTTTCTTGAATTCCTCCCATTAAATGTTCATCAGTTTCCGTAAGCATTTGGTTTCAAATGCTTTCAACTTTCCTTCCATTATCATGGTGTTCCCCAATGCCCCCCCCCCCCAATGATTAAAGAACACAGAAGTGCCTATTTCTTACAACCATATGTTATATTCTCTGTTGATCAATTTTTGCCATGCAATCATTCGAACTCACATCTTTATAGACCAATCAGGACACGATGGGTGATGTGGTCAACATCAAGTCGCATGCCTTTTCTTTCCAGGACATTGACCGGCCGTCCTCATGTGGGACGCAATTTTTTTGTTATTTTGAAGCCCCACTCTGGCTTTTGCCAGGCTCCACAATATAGCCTGATGGTTGAATGTGGTTTCTGTTCCTCTCCACATGTGATCCTCATCCGCATTGTGGCACTTTGTGTTGCCGGGTGTTTATCTCTCTGTGTGATGTCCTGGTGGGGTCAATTTCCCTTTTTTTACTTGCCAGGACATTTCTCAGAACCAGCTTCAGCCTGGGATGACCTGACAACCACAGGTCTCATACCGACACACACAAACAAATTAACCCTGCTGGGTCAACCTGACAACCACAGGTCTCATACAGACACACACAAACACTTACTCCTGCTGGGTCGACCTGACAAGCCACAGATCTCATACCGACACACACAAACACTTACTCCTGCTGGGTTGAACTGATGAGCCACAGGTCTCATACCGACACACACAAACACTTACTCCTGCTGGGTCGACCTGACAAACCACAGATCTCATACCGACACACACAAACACTTACTCCTGCTGGGTTGAACTGATGAGCCACAGGTCTCATACCGACACACACAAACACTAACTCCTACTGGGTTGACCTGACAAGTCACAGGTCTCATACCGACACACACAAACACTAACTCCTGCTGGGTCGACCTGACAAGTCCCAGGTCTCATACCGACACACACAAACACTTACTCCTGCTGGGTCGACCTGACAAACCACAGGTCTCATACCGACACACACAAACACTAACTCCTACTGGGTCGACCTGACAAACCACAGGTCTCATACCGACACACACAAACACTAACTCCTACTGGGTCGACCTGACAAGTCACAGGTCTCATACCGACACACACAAACACTTACTCCTGCTGGGTCGACCTGACAAACCACAGGTCTCATACCGACACACACAAACACTAACTCCTACTGGGTCGACCTGACAAGTCACAGGTCTCATACCGACACACACAAACACTTACTCCTGCTGGGTCGACCTGACAAACCACAGGTCTCATACCGACACACACAAACACTAACTCCCGCTGGCTTGAACTGATGAGCTACAGGTCTCATACCGACACATACAAACACTAACTCCTGCTGGGTCGACCTGACAAGCCACAGGTCTCATACCGACACACACAAACAATAACTCCTGCTGGGTCGACCTGACAAGCCACAGGTCTCATACCGACACACACAAACAAATTAACATTGCTGGGTTGACCTGACAAGTCACAAGTCTCATACCGACACACACAAACACTAACTCCTGCTGGGTCGACCTGACAAGCCACAGGTCTCATACCGACACACACAAACACTAACTCCTGCTGGGTCGACCTGACAAGCCACAGGTCTCATACCGACACACACAAACACTAACTCCTGCTGGGTCGACCTGACAAGCCTCAGGTCTCATACCGACACACACAAACACTAACTCCTGCTGGGTCGGCCTGACAAGCCTCAGGTCTCATACCGACACACATAAACACTTACTCCTGCTGGGTCGGCCTGACAAGCCTCAGGTCTCATACCGACACACACAAACACTTACTCCTGCTGGGTCGGCCTGACAAGCCTCAGGTCTCATACCGACACACATAAACACTAACTCCTGCTGGGTCGACCTGACAAGCCTCAGGTCTCATACCGACACACACAAACAAATTAACATTGCTGGGTTGACCTGACAAGTCACAAGTCTCATACCGACACACACAAACACTTACTCCTGCTGGGTCGGCCTGACAAGCCTCAGGTCTCATACCGACACACACAAACACTAACACCTACTTACATCAGCATGTGACTTGTGGTGCTGGTCTTGCAGTTTCTCCTGCTCCATGTGCAGCTGGGCCAGCGTGTCCTCGTATCTGGCAATCTGTAAGTGGGAGATCAATTAGACAATCATACGACTCTGAAGATGTGGATACAAAGAAGAATATGTCATAGATCATGGAGGCAAAAACTATCAAATACAGAGGTACTGAAGAGATGGAATAAAAAGAACTGATTTAAAGAATATTTAAGTGAAATATTTAGACCATTTTGAAAGATGTAATGCTTTGAAAACAAAAACCATACTGAAGGGAAAAGATAAAGGAAAGTGAGTTAGAGGCAGACAGCAATACGAGAGATGAACTAACAGCGAAGAGAGAGAGAGAGAGAGAGAGAGAGAGAGAGAGAGAGAGAGAGAGAGAGAGAGAGAGAGAGAGAGTGAGAGAGAGAGAGAGTGAGAGAGAGAGAGAGAGATAGAGAGAGAGTGTGTGTGTAAATCCAGAGTGACAGACAGAAAGTGTTGGAGATCCATTCGAGGAAATCTTAAGTGTGCAGATGGCGAAGGATGTACGGAGGAGGAGATCCAACCATTTAAGGACTTAATGGTTCAATATGCAGTGAGGATTATCTGTCAATTAACTAACCCACTGTGTGTGTGTGTGTGTGGACACCCCCCCCCCCCCCAAAAAAAAAAAAACAACAACATAATTTTGAAATTATGTGGAAAAGTAAAGGGAAAGAGTTACGTGTCAAAAAAAAAAAAAGGCTTTTAAGTTGTTATCATCTGTAGTTTTTTGTTTAAACAACCATTTGTGACCTACTTATTGACTTCCTCTCATAAATTTACTATGTACCTATTACCTTTTCTGTGCCTTTGAGAAAAAGTGAGAAGAAAAATTAATCAATACTTATTTCATCCTTTTATGTTTAGAATAAACTTAAAAATTTTTAAAAAACACTTTGCAATGTTACCTCCTGTGTGTGTTGTTTAGCTTGTTTTTGAGCTGTCTGTAAGTTCAAATTTGCCATCCTCAGCTGGGCCTCCCTGTCAGCCAGTACTTCACTGAACTCTCTGTGCTTCAACTGAAGGTCATCTATCTCTCGTCGTAGTCTAGGCATCTGGTCATCACTCATTCTCAACTAGATTTAAAAAACAAAAAAGTGTAAGACATTTTTATAATGTCATGAAAGAGGTGGTCACCTGCTCGTCCTAGTACAGAGGCTTCTTGAAATATAATCAGCTAGTTCTATCTGGGTGGTAGTCTAGTTATCTTGTTCTCACCCACTCTAGCCTAGATATTTCTGATTTCTTCTTCAGCATTAAAAGTCCTTGAGGTTTACTGAAACAGGTTACCCCTCTATTCATCTCTGTGACTGGCCTTCTATTTCCAGTAAAGTCTTAGTCTTAGTCAAGGTTTCAGCTTCACCACAATCAGGTCACCCCATACTTGTTCCGTTCCTGCACCAGTGAAAATTTCCAGTAAAGCATTTGGATCTGCTTGTGTATTATCTCTCTTCTGTCTTCTTGGTCTGCCTTTTGGTCAACTTCTTTTCAACTCCTTTGTGTATGCTGTTTATTTTGTCCTTCTGTTATCTACTTTTCTCTCTACATGCCATTGCTGTCTATTAGCCCTCAGTATGTCAGTAATTAGTGGTGACCTATAGGAAGAAGAATGTATATTATGTTTAAAAAAAAAAACTGTGTGATTCCAGTACTAACTTATGGATGTGAGAGTTGGAAACCAATGGAAGCTCTAGATAAACAAATTAGACAGTTTTGAGAACAAACAGAAGAATACTAAATCTCCACTGGATAGATTTCAGATCCAATACGCAAATAAGACATGAGACCAAGCAAGAAAATGTTTTCAAATTTATAAGAAAGCGCTGCTTTAAGTCCTTTTATGAACACGGGAAGGAAAAAGAAAAAGGAGAAGAGCATGAGAGACTCTAAGTAGAACCACGATCATGAAAGGCTCAACCATGGGCCTAACAAACATCGAAGACCTAAAGCAGGTCGCAACGAACCGCCAGACATGGACAGCTATGGCCTCTGCCCTATGTGCTGCCTTAGGCCCAAGAGGAAAGACTAACTAACTATCCACCACCACTCAGATACTGGGCATACAGTGCTAGAACTATATTTTACAAACTGGCACTCGGTGGGTGATGTGGTCAACATCAGACTGGCCGCGTTTTACTTTTTAGGATCTTACCTGGAACCCATTTAGGGCAGGGTCGACCTGGAGCCAAGGTCATTTCTGAGAAAAAAAAATCTAGCTCAGTTAGGATTTGAACCCAAGTTTCGGATCCACATCCAGCATCTAGCCCGTAAACCTCAAGCTGTATTCCATGTGCCAGGTGTTTAAAAATCAGATATGACTCAGTCTCTCTCCACTAAACAGACAGCCACCTGCTAAGTGGTCACACACATCACACACTCTGTAGGTCCAGCCACGATCCCCAGGGATCTCCATAAAGAAATGCATCTGTTACTTCTTTTGTCTGAAGCAAGGCACCATGTGTGCCTGGAGGCAACTCACATATTTCAGTCAACATGCTATGCATGCTCTCATGTCTTATACTGAAACCTTTACTCTAGATAACCTGGACACCATATTTGTTTCCCAGAACAAATGTGGGACAAGTATACTTACTAGTTTTATAATTTTCATTACTGTCTTTGTCGGAAATCAGTTATAACCTTCTGGGACTGAAAGACATAGTTCATGAAATGAACCCAGGACCATTAGAGCATAAGGCAAAAGGCTTAACAACTTACTCTGATAGTTTTAGAAAATTTACAATCAACCTATGCTAGAAAACACCCAAAAGAGACCATGAAATGAAAGTTTAAGAGAGAGGCCAAAGGTGCTGGTCTGGATTCCACTGATGATGTCAAACTAATTGCACATAATAGACCGTAAAACCAAGTTACATATGTGTAATTCTCGTCTTATTTCAGTTTTAACATATACCAGTGAAAGTTAGAGAACCACTAAAGACATGGAACGAAAGTTAAATGAATTTTAACTCTTTGAGTCCCAAGGAACACATCATACGTTTGTAGATTCCTACCTAGAGGCATAATGAACGCATGATGCGCCGATTTTACGTCTCTTTTGACTACCCCTTGGGCCTGTGATGCTAAACCCCCTGGGACTCAAAGTGTTAAAACAAATGCCCGAGGAAAATGATGAACATAAAAAGGGATGAATTAAAGAGGAGTGAAGAAATAAGAGAAATGTCTGGGCAACAACTAGTAGCAACAGTTACAAGGTAGATAAGATGGTGCTATACTGAACACATTCTGAGAAAAGACAAACACAGAATCACCAAACAAGCACTAAAATGGGAAATAGAGGGACTGAGGAAACAATGTCATCCAAGAGAAACAATAAGGTTAACATTGGTGAGAAAAGCCACAAAGTAGCTGGACTGGATTCCATCCATGATATCCAAGTTATTGCACAGGGTAGAACTGAATGGAGAAATAAATTGCAAGCCCTATGTGACATATAATGGCACCACAGGTTAGGTTAGTTGCGTATCCTTTACAGGACATTGCAGAACCAACCCCAACAGCCCCTGGCTGTTGTGTGGTTTTTCTAGGCAAATTTACATCCAGTAGTTTGCCACTACTGAGTGGTGGAAAATTTCGAATATCTTGGGTCACTGGTTACCAACAATGGTGACACAATGAAAGAAATTAAACGGCGACTATCAATTGCTCTTCAAAGACTAAAACAACTGAATAAATTATGGAATTGTACAGATAGAACTACAAAGGTCAGATTTTTAAGAGCATGCATCTTTCCCATTGCAACATACGCCTGTGAGACCTGGACACTTACTAAACAAGCGGAACAGCGCATAAATGCATTTGAATATAAATGTTACAGACAGGTTCTAAGAATATCTTGGGTAAAGAAAAGAACAAATGCATCCATACTTCAAGAGCTGAATATTGAAGAGGGTTGGCTAGCAAAGACAATAAAACAAAGAAAATTGAAATATTTTGGTCACTTGAAACGTCATGGAAGTCTAGAGAGAACAATAATGGAGGGGTATATGCCTGGGAAGAGAGGAAGAGGAAGGCCAAGGAGAAGATGGGTGCAGGATGTGGCAGATGATCTCCAGATGGGTGTATCAGACGCAGGACATCTTGCTCAGGATAGGAAGGTTTTCCGGAGGGTTGTTATGGCAGCGAGGTTCCGCGAGGGACATGCTACTGAATGAATGAGTTTGCCACTGCTTTCTGGACGGTCGGCTTTCTTGATACCACTGTCGAAACCAACGCAAGGTGCATGGCCCGCAGCTGGGATCAATCCCGACATTACGAAGCGTCCGCATCGACTTAGCCACAGAGCCGACGCCACAGTACCATGATGATGATAATATTAGAGAAAACTGACTGAGCCAGTGAGACCACATCTCACCCTGTCTTGCAGCTCTCTGGTCAGCCTCTGCAGGGCTTCCATGTCAGCCTGCATGTCCAGTGACATCTTCTTGCTGGCACTCAGCTGCCTCACAGTCTCTCCATGCCTCTCCCTCTCAGCTCTCAGTTCTGCTTGAAGCTGACCCAGGATTCCTTCCTGCTGCTCCACCTAAAACAACATACATGGAGGGATATTATCGTCACACACACAAAGGTTAAATAGGCAGCTGCCCCAGATTTTGATAACCGATTTAAGTTTTTCTCTGAGGGGAAAAATGGGGTGTGTGACAGAATTTGTGTGTATGTTAGTGTGTGTGTGTGAGTGCACGGGTGTCTGTGTGTGTGCATATATATTTAAATCAATTTTTGCGTATACATATATGTATGTATATATATGCATGTATAGGCAGTGAGGACATCCAAAACAAACTCTAAAATGGACACTGACAACAGAAGCCAAAGCTGCCGGACTGGATTCCATCCATGATATCAAAGGGATTGCACAGGAAAGAATCGAATGGAGCCCCATGTGACATATAATGGAACAACTTACGACCAAGTTCTGTTTGGACTACCAGGTTGTAAGTCAAACTGACCGTAAGTCAAATTTTTTCAACACTATTTTTATTCAAATGGGTTATAAAAATGGTACATAAAACATTAAAATTCAACCTATGTGTCAATTACTGTGCATAATGCGAAAAATGCATCATATTTACTCTTCTGCATCAGTTCTGGGTACTTTTGACCCTACCTTAATTTACCATTTTTAAATATTTTTTTAAAATTTGGGGTTGTAAGACGCATAGATCATAAGTTGAGAAAAAGGTGTTTATATATATGTATATACACACACACATTATACATATATGTGTGTGTGTGTATATATTCCTAAGAAAAACTGAGATGTTTATGTCACGTTCCCTTCTTCATAGAACAATCAAGGCCTATAAAGAACATAGAGGTGAAGAGAAAAATAACTGTCAATGTCAGGGTATGGCAAATGACAGGGATACCAATGAGACTGATAATATACAAACAAAACAGAAATAAATGTTACCAAATTCACAGCACTATATAACACAATGCTACAAAAAAAACACAGCAACAATCTCTACACACCTGGCCTGTTAATATTTTCTCTTGCTCTTTGGCACCTGCTAGCTCCAGCTCCATCTTGTGTGCTTGCTGTTTGTAAGCAATGCCTTCTTGAACAGCGGCATGATGTTCGTCCCTGGCAGACATCAAGTCCTTTCGAAGCTTGTCAATCATTGCTTTCTGCTCAGCTATCTCTTCCTCATAGCTGGAAGCCCTCTCCTTGACTGTCTTCAGTTCAGTCTGATTAAGGAGCAATTAATGATTACAATATGGGAAAATATTTTAGAATAGATACCAAGACTACAAAGAAAGAGAATTCTCCAGAGCTATATAAATCCTATCATGATGTAAGGAAGTGAATCATGGGCAGATGGAGGATTAGAGAAAAAGTATCTGGAAGCGGCAGAGAGGCAGTTTTATAGACAATAATGAGAGAACCCTCACCTCTTGACCTTTTCTCACGCCTTCACTCATATTGGGCATATAGTGCCAATACAGACCAATCAGCATCAGGAAGAGATGTGGTCAACATCTTTACCTGATACCCATTTAGAGTTGGGTCAAACTGGAAGCCAAGGCTTTAGCGACCAGTTCGCCCACTGGCTGGCCGGTAGACGACTTCGTCATTGGTCGGGACAGTATTTGGGTCTCTGTCTCTCTTGACTGGATCAACACTGCAAGAGTCTGTTTCAGGCTATTTGGTGGTGAGCAATGCTACGCCATTTTATATGGTTCACATAAACCTAGTCACAATTATAACCAAAAGCTCACCCCTTGGGGTGATGCTGGTTGAACATGACGACTTTAGAATTATTTTTGGCGAAGCAAGTCAAGTCAAGGAAGCCAAGGTCAATAACCATAAAATCTGGCAGATCCGATTTGAACCCACGACCTTCAGATACACAGATGTGCGTCTACACCTGAGAATATACTGGATAAAAAAGAGAAATAAAGACATCTTGAAAGAAAATGACTTATGAAGAGAACTTATTACCCAGGTCAGAAGGCAACTACATTCTCTGGTCATGTCATGAGAAGGATAAAACTGTGTACATCTTCATGGTGGAAAGGTTGGAGAAAAAATAGATGCAGAGGGAGCCCGAGAGAGAGAAGATGCTGGACAGTTTGACATCATGATATAGAAGATCATCTGTGTCAGAACTGATTGACAGTACACAAGACAGAAGGCTGCAGATAGACATGGCTACCAATGCCACACGGTATGGACTATAAGAAAAAGATTTCAAGAAATTATGAAAATATTTTTCATTTTCTTCTCTGAATTCCTAAAGTTACCTCTGTGAAGTGTGCAGCTGAAGTAAGGATAATCTGTGTACTCTGTCTAATGCTAGTATAAAGTGTTCTTCATTTGTTATTGATGCTGTCACTCTGTATTTTACTTTTGAAGACTTTCGGCCAAAACGGAGGAAAGGCTTGGCAGCATGTTAAGCTTCGAAGTTATTTTTTTCTTCCGACAGCGCTTTGCTAATGCAGTTACCACATAGGGATGGTAGTCTATGGTTTCGCTGCTTGGGCTACTAAGTTTTAGTGCTTTGATGCAGCCCTGTGAGCTGTGAATTTCCTATGAAATATCTTCTATTTGCGCAGCTGTTGTATCCTTTTATTCAATATGGCCAGTGGCCGGTTTATGTGTGGGCTGATTAAATACTTTAAGTAAAAATTCAACGCGTGTGTATACTAACCAACTTATGCCCACTACTTCCATCAACGATAAAATGCATTTCTGGTGGCGATTACTGGCTTTGCTGCCTTGAGCAACTGAAATACACATTTACTGAGTGCACATATTTCTGGATTGTTCCGGAACTAGTTGTTTATTCACCAGTTTTTCATATGCAACAGTGAGGGACATTTTTTTTGATTCGCACTGGCACAGGAACGAAAGCAATTATGGGGAAACCCGATTGCGCCGATGTTGAAACCTCGACTAACCAACTATTTTGCTTTGTTGCCCCCTTGCTCTATGTTTATTATATTTTTTTTAATGAGGAGCTTAGTAGCAGTTGGTACCAGGGCATTTCACCAGAAGATAATACTATAACGACAGCAATCTACTACTGTAAATCTGAACAAAGAAAACACAAACAACAGATTTAACACATTATTGCCAGGCACATTTCGCTGTATCTTGTCAGGTGCAAATACAGACAAAAAATAAATAAATAAATACGAAGCAAACCACTGAATCTTTTTAGATGAAACACGAGTATTCGCACACTGAAATATAACTCTCTCTCTTGTTTCTTTTCTAAATCAGGGTAAAAGCAAGCATGCCTTTTGTTATTATAATAAAGAAAGCATCACACATTAATCTTGCTGGTTGGTAGGAGGAGGAAGAAGAATAAGAATAATAATAATAATAATAAGACAAATAAAAATGAGGAAGAGGACACAGTGGAAGAGGAGAAAGATAGAGACAAAAATAAAAAAAAAAACAGATGAAGAGAATGAGTAGCACAGAAGTAGAAGGTCAAAAAAAAAAAAAGAGGAAAGGTACCTGGAAAAAGATCAGCAGGTTTTTATCAGGAGATGATATTGTGATGTTGCTATACGTCACAAAGAGCTTGCAGTTTGCTTTTCCATTCCTCTAGCCTGTTCCTGTTTATATATCATGGATGTCTTTCCTTCAAAGTCGGAGTACATCTGCCTAAGAGGCAAATAACCAACAGTCTGAATGAAAATAACTCAGACCTGTGAAACTGATGTACACGCAACACTCAGTTTTTCTAACAGGACTAGAGTCCAGAAGTGGACGAACAACAAGAACTTTTCAGCAGGAGTTTACAGTCTGTGAACGAAAAGAAGAAGGGGAAGAATATCTTAGATGGAATCCAGTCCAGAACTTTAGGTCTCTCTCATCAACTTCCGTCTGAGGGTTTCTTTTGGACATCCCCATTTCCTGATTTTGGCTCCTCTCTGCATACTCCCCATTTTTCATATCTTTCTGTTGTCCAATTTTCCACTTGGTTTTAGGTGTTTATTCCTTTTTTTCAGGTTTTCCTATTAACTACTTCGGTGGGGGTGTCTCATAAGTAAAAGGATCCCTTTTTTTAATGCTAGTGGCATACTGGGTACAAGATGCTGGACACACATCTTTTGAGGGACCATTCGGTGCTTCGTGGATGATGTGGTCAACATAACACCAGGCACAATTACTTCCCAGGAAATTAAATGGCACACATTTTAGGCTGGGTCAATTTAGGATGTAGATTTGAACCTAAGACTTTTTTAGCTGGCTGGCTGGCAGGCAAGAATCTAGCCACTATGCTATCACAGCTCCCATGGGTGTCTCATGTTGCCTATAATACTGTCTGACCTAGTTCACCAAGGCAGATGTGGTCAAGGCCTTTGGGAATAAGCAACTGAATCAGTAGAGAAACAAGATTATTATGGCCTGGAGAGAATGAGGCACCTGGGTGTAACCAGAGGGTCTGGCCGGCTCACAACACTCAGAAAAAAGGCAAGATGGACTTATAACCAGATTGTGACCAGTACCATCAGTATTGGAACTCTGTGCTGGCTACTGAAGATGAGGACGGAGCAGGCAATGGGAATGCCCCGAGTGCTGTGATGTCAATTCTGGACTCAACTCAGCCTAGTATGCTGTGATGTTGATTCCTAAATCAGTAAATGTTCTCACCTGCAGTTTTCGGATACTCTGCTCCAGTTTGACCCCTTCTGTAACCCGCTGACTCAGCTGATCTTGGGTGGTCTGCAGGCTTCTCTCCATCAGACTGAGCTTCTCCTCATGGCGGGCCAGCTGGTAACAAAACAAGCAGCAGAAGTGCAGGGGCATCAACAGTCAGGGTTTAAAAACTTCCTATGTGGGTTCCGGAGCCTCATTTTGGAAAAAAAATCCAATCCACTGCCTACTTAACAAGCATGTCCTTCAAGACAAATAATTAGGGGTCTTTCAATGTCGGAGTGCATCTGCCTGAGAGACGAGGAACCAACAGTCAATAAGGCCAGATCTGTGAAATGAATATGCATACAAATCTGAAGTTTTGGAAGACGACCAAAGTTCAGAAATGAAAGAACAACCAGAGCATTCCACCAGAGTTTACAGCCAGTGAATGCTAACAAAACAATAATAATAAGAAAAGTTAAAAAAAAAAAACATTTGTATTTCAAACAAGTCAAAAAAAGTCAAAGACCCACTTATCCTCACCTTGAGGTGTAGTTGATAAGTAAACTATGGTTTATAGGTCGAGTTCAAGCCTAAAATAATCTTTCCAAAACCAAAGACTGACTTATATAGTGGGTAACAATTAGTCTGACTCTGGAGGGTATGGCTTTAATAGACTCAAATGGTTGGGGCATACTGAGAGAATGTCAGATGACAGAGAAGTGAAAACTATACACAAGAGAGATAAATGGTCGTAGACCACGAGGCAGACCAAGAAGACGATGGAGAGATAATGTCCAGACAGACCTGCAAACACTTGGTGTCATCAACTGGAAAGAGAAGGCCAACCAGAAGGAAGAATGGAGGTGGGTGAGTGATATTTGCAGAAATGAACCTCAAGGGCTCATAATGCTGAAGAAGAAGAAGAAGATGAATGTTATGGCAGTGACCAAAGAAATAACATAGCTGATGACATAGACCTCTTCCCATGCATCTTTTCTTAGTGAGTCAGTGTGCTCAGGAAGACAGAGATGGGCTGGATCCGAAGACAGTGGGTGGAGTCTCAGAAGAGTCAGGGCTGACACATATCAGTTTAATATTTGTGCCAGATCACGCAGGCGTGCATGGAAATGAGCAAGCTGATAAATTTGTATGTAAAGCTACTGTGGAGGGCAGATGAACCATTGATCATGCTGATGTACTGAATGCACTACGAGAAGTGAGACATTCTTGAGAACCAAGTGATGACTGTGAATGTGCAACCATGACCAGACTGCGAGAGCAACATATTACAAGGGGTGTGGCCAGACGAGAGCATTAAGCAGGAAGCCAAAGAAGAATAAGAAACCAACACTGGACTGGTGTTGTCAACCGCTGGTGTCGTCAGTCGCTACACACTGCAGGATTTACTAAGGAGAGGATCTGAGCATTTATGGACTGAATGCAGTCATGATAATCTGTTTACTAACTAACTAATGGTGGCCACATGCTCACTTGCCGGCCTAAAGGTCTTCGGTTGAATCCAATCCAGTCTTGACATGATAAATAAAACTTTGCCTCCCAGATCTACTCAACCTAAAACTGGTACCAGGTA